ACTGGTGTGGGTGTTGATTGTTTTGAGTGTAAGGGTGTTGGTGTTGATTGTTCTGAGTGTACGGGTGTTGATTGTTTTGAGTTTGCGGGTGTTGGTGTTGATTGTTTTGAGTGTATGGGGGTTGATTGTTTTGAGTGTAAGGGTGTTGGTGTTGATTGTTTTGAGTCTATGGGTGTTGATTGTTTTGAGTGTACGGGTGTTGGTGCTGAATGTTTTGAGGTTACGGGTGTTGATTGTTTCGAGTTTACGGGTGTTGATTGTTTTGAGTGTATGGGTGTTGATTATTTTGAGTGTACGGGTGTTGATTGTTTTGAGTGTACGGGTGTTGTATGTTTTGAGTGTACGGGTGTTGATTGTTTTGAGTGTATGGGTGTTGATTATTTTGAGTGTACGGGTGTTGATTGTTTTGAGTGTATGGGTGTTGATTATTTTGAGTGTACGGGTGTTGATTGTTTTGAGTGTATGGGTGTTGATTATTTTGAGTGGGGTTGATTGTTTTGTGTACGGGGGTTGATTGTTTTGAGTGTACGAGTGTTGGTGTTGATTGTTTTGAGTGTACGGGTGTTGGTTTTGAATGTTTTGAGTTTGCTGGTGTTGGTGTTGATTGTTTTGAGTGTAAGGGTGTTGGTGTTGATTGTTCTGAGTGTACGGGTGTTGATTGTTTTGAGTGTACGGGTGTTGGTGTTGATTGCCATGGAGTCTAAACCGGTTCCTGTGAACAAAAAAGTGGAGAGGCTCCACACTCCTGCAGAGCCTCAGAGGTCGGTCATTCACTTCACAGGACACCTGGGTAAATAAAGAACTGGGCCGGTCGCATAAACCACTTATGGAGCTTTTCCACTGCATGGTACGGCACGGTACGGCTCGGTACGGTTCACTTTTGGGGGGTTTTCCACTGGGTACAGAACTGCAGTGGAAACGCAAACCGTGCCGAGCCGAACCGTGCCGTGCCCTACTGAGCCGTACCGAGCCGAGTCGTACCACGCAGTGGAAAAGCGCCATTAGACTAGTCTTAAAAAATTAGTCATCTATTCTGTGTTGTGCATCTCTTTTTTTTTTCTTCAAGGCTGGTCATAACTTTTTAAAATTCAGTTATACAAAGGTAGATTGGTCTTATTTTTATTGGAAAAGTAAGACTGATTACCCCTTGGCAACTGCTAGTTGGTCAAACTACTTTATGTCTCTTAACATGGTGGCTAAGTTTATTCAACTGGCCCCTGGTTGTTTCAATAGGTTTTGTGTAGTATTTC